GACAAATCATTTCAATTTGCACAATTTTGCCACTGGAAGTGATTAAAAAGGCTAGGTTCTTGAGGTACATTGTAGGATGAGCTCCTGCTGGTACCTTAGTTTTGAGTCCAACCCTCCCTCCATCCACTACCTACAGTTTATATCAAGTTTAATGAAATTTCCCTGCCTTTATAAAGAATTTATTTATTAGCCAATATAGGGTTTCTTTTTATCAAATCTCAGTGCAAACACCAGTTTACACACTTAGCAGCATCTACACAAGCAACTACTACAAGCAGCTATCAAGAATATGGTAATTCTGCTATATACTCCACTCTCCTCTTTTGAAATCAAGCTTTAAAGGTTATAGTTATGATCCCAATGCTAGCTGCCTTAGATATAGCATTACAAGAGGGAGAAGCCTTTTTACAAAGGCAAAATTATTTATCTTAGCCAGAGCCGTCGCTAGGGTATGGCGAATCGGGGCAACCGCTCTGGGCCCCGTGCTTTGGGGTGCCCCCATGGGCCGAGAGATGAGGCGGGAGGGCGAGCAGAGTGAGGAGGCGAACAGCAGATGGGCAAGGCGGAGCCCCCCTACCAGAACCTCCCCCTAGCGCCCCCTGCCCGCTGGTGGGCCCTGACAATCAGCACCTCCCCCTCCCTCCCAGTGCCTACCGCCAGCCGCCGTTCAGCTGTTTCGCGGCATCAGGAGGCACTGGGGGGGGGGGGGGGGGGGCATCGGGGGGCCCGGGGGGGGGGGGGGGGAGGGCGCAGCGTGCTCAGGGGAGGAGGTGGAACTGGGTGGGAAAGAGGCAGAGCAGGGCCTTGGGGGAAGGGGTGCAGTGGAGGTGGGGCCTGGGGGAGTCAGTGGAGAGCACCCCTTGGCAGATAGGCACCGAGTTTCTAATGTCCTGGGCCCCGCACCTTCCTAGGGATGACCACGCTCTTAGCAATAATTCACCAAAACACCAGGGGTCTCATTATTTTGCTCAAATAATGTCAACTTCCAAATGAGCCACTAACAGCAGAAGTTAAAAGGATCTATTTTTTTACATATTTTCTCTGAGAATCAGGCTATTTCCATGGCCACCATTTTACCTCATCATCCTACCTAAATATAAAATAAAATCGAGACAATCATGAAACCGACTTGGCACGTTCAAAATGTCACCATTCAATCACATTGTTTGTCATGATCTCCCATCCTTCATTTGTATACTGTAATATAGGAAGGATTCAGTTCTTTGGGGAAGGCCTTGTCTTAGTACTTGCCTTCAAAGCACTTAGCATACTGTTGGTGCTATGTAAATTAGCATAATATCTAACCAGATCAGACTACAAAAAGAAAGCTATTAATACTTGGGTGTAGAGGTGATCAATATATTTCTTGATATAGTCATATACAGAGGCAATATAGTACTGCACAAATGCTGACTGAGCAATAGTAACTTTTTAAACTTCAACAGTAACATATCAGAATCAATATTATTTGATAGTCAAGTAGGCAACTACCAAATCTCTCCTTTGCACCCCTAAACATCCTTTTTTGATAATGGGAACAGAAAGTCAGAAAGTAGAAATTATACCTTGTTTCCTTAGAACAAAAGTACCCATAGCTTGTCCATTCTCACTCATTAGCAGGCAGGATTTTCTTGATCGCTTTTATAGAACTACAGAATGTAGAACAGTTCATTATTGAGTTCATATATAGTTGTTCTACCTGAACCTTTGAATAAAGGTTTGAATGTAATATAATGAAAAATAAATTGCTTAAACAAGTTTTACACATATGCTCCAAAAGACTCTGTGTCTTAAGCCATAAGCCTATGAAAAATTTCAGCTTGGAAGGAATTTTTGGAGAGATTTGAGATAGAGTGCTCACTACCAAACTACAGCATCACTGTTAATACACCAATACAACTCCCCCCCCCAATTTTTTTTTTAATTTTTTTAATGTTACAACATGTAAAACATTATATATATATAAAGAAACTGCAAGCAGACATAAGGCATTTTGCTACTGTTTTTTCCCTATGAATTTTTTTGCTCTCTTTCTTTCTCTCTTTTTTATTTTATTTTCTTTTTTGGGGGGGTGGGGGTAGGATTAAGTGAGTAGTAAGTGTTAAAACCTCTCAGTAATTGCGAAGAACTGTCTGGACACTGATTTACTACTGATTCTACATCTGAAATAAGACATGCATGTTACGCCTGAATTAAGACAGCAGCAATGTTTACAGTAGGAGGTAAGAGTAAGATTCCCAGCTTGTGTTAGACATATTTGCACTAAGTCTCCTCAAACCATCTCCTCACACCTGAACACTGTGGATACATACTAACCACGACTAGCCCAAGCTGCCACTCACCACTGCCTATGCTACCATGACTACTCTACTATTTTTAGCCCACTAGCTGTCCTCAAGCTAGTACAAGTATATGTAATGTGAGTGGGGAATCCCCCCTTAGCTCCTAGCATAGAAATAGCCTTTAAGACACTATCAGGTAGGTTAGGGCCAAAAATAGGTTTTGTAAAAACTTCTTAAACACAACCCATATTTAAAATGTGTTTCATTAAAACAGTTTGTCTGGATTTAAACATGCACTCTGCAGTATTTGAAACCTCAACACTGCACAAGTGTGCTAGTGCATAAAAACAGAAAGTGAAACTGATTACACAGACATTTAAATTAACCAGCTTAATTTTGCTACCCAAGCTGAATTGCATACAGTAAACAAACAGCAAGTATTAGGGGGAAAGGATTAACATTTTCCAATTTTAACAGTCAATTTAGTAACAGGAAACAAAATTTGTTTTAAGCTTATGTCCATGTAAAGCTTTTTATTATTATTAAAGGCTCAAAAATAATTTTATAAAATAATGGAAATTAAATTTAGTCTTCACAACAGTGTTACAAAAAATATACAGATGCATCTTTTGATAAGATAACAAAATAGTACAACACATGCAGAGGACAATAGTCCTCACAAATGTAGTTCAACGGCTTGTTTTTTCCTTTTGGCATAACCACCACACAAGTTTTCCCCAAAACCCTAAAAGATGGTCATCTAAGCTTTTGTTTTCCATCTCCACACATTTACTTCCCTGAAAGACACAGCCACCATAATCATGATCACACACACCTTTTCACCTTGTCCAAATAAATGTCCAAAAAATACAAAAAGTTAAGCTAGAGTTTAAGTGTTCAAATTTCCTCCAATATTGGGTCAGACATTAAAAACATTTATTGGTTTGCTTTCCATTCTTCCTTCAGATCTATGGGACCAGGAGTGGGTTGAAATCACGTAACAACATCTTATAGACAATCTAATATATAAACTCCTATAGGACACAGCTAGAGGCTTTCAATTAATAAACTATAAAGAAAACTCTTGGTGATGATCACTGTATATTAAAAAAAGTGTTTTAATCATGCAATTAAAGGCTATTGTAAGGTTAAAAGTCAGTTTTTAAAAATACAGAACTTACAAGATCTTAAATTAAAATTGAAAACTTTAAATTTGATTTGTAATTTTCACCACAAATGCTATTTGAAGTACAAAAAGTAAACTGTCAATTTGAGTATAGCGCCTCTTTTTTAAAATATTCCTTTACATACCAAAAAAACATGCGGAAGGCTTGGGGAGGTAGAAAAAATTCTTTTATTTGAGATAGTAGTAGTGTAGGCTGCAAGACCCAGGCAATGGACACTGCATTTAGAAGTGTCTTGTTTACATGAAAAAAAGTGATACTGGACATCTTAAGGAGGCAGTAACTAAATGAACCTTGGCTGATGTTTTGTTTTGTTTGTAGGTGTGCATTGGCCTGCTAAACCCAGGGTTGTGAGTTCAATCCTTGAGGGTGCCATTTAGGGAACTGGGGTAAAAATCTGTCTGGGGACTGGTCCTGCTTTGAGCAGGGGATTGGACTAGATGACCTCCTGAGGTCCCTTTCAACCCTGATATTCTATGATAAGCATACAAATACAATGTTTGCACTGCATGAGCAAAGAATTCTCACCACAACAGACCAATGCTGTGGACCCGATTTGCAATAAATACACATGGAGGGAGCTTTATGATGGGTTGTTATTGTTGGTTGTTTTTTTGGGGGGGGGGGGGGGGGGGGGGGCGGGACTGTTGAGCCAGCAGCAACCCTGAGCTGTGATTCTCTAGCAGCAGGAAGTTTCTATGGGGCCGGGGAGCATGCGCCTTGAGGCTCCTCGGTCTCTATGTGGCAAGAGAGCACAAGTCACCACCACACCAATAATAGAGAGACAACAAGAGCAACAAGCACCTTTCCCTTCGGTATCTGTGCATCTCTCCTTCCCCCCGGCTCTTCTGTTGCCCTGCCCTTCCCCCGCCATCACCTCACACATCAGGGACTGGGGAACACGGGAGTCCGGCATCCTAAACATGTCAACATCCCATTCCCTGCAACCTACTGGAAGGAGGGACGGGGGGGGGGGGGGGCCAGCGTGAGTGAGGAGCAGCTTGAAAGAAGACAGGGGAGGGTGTAACCCTTCCCTCCGCCGGTCCAGGTGGGGGGCGGGACACGCTTAGCCCCCAACCCAATGGGAAGTGGAGTAAGATGAAGATTACACACACAGGGGGGGAGGGTGCAACATCTGCACAGGGGGGCGGGCGGGCCTGGTCTCTCCTCTCCCTCACACAGAGCCCAGAGGGGCAGCAGCGCACGGGGCTCGCCCCCTGTTCGGGGGGGGGAGGGGCTCCCAGCCCCCACAGGGCCCAGGGGGAGGGGGCAGGTGCCGGAATGAGGAAGCTCTCCCCTCACAGACTCCTCCGGTGGGGCTGGGGAAAGAAACCTCCCGCCCCAGCAGCTGCTCCCCCTGGACCCCGGGGGGGGGTAAGGACACAGCAGAAGTCTCCCCTCCCCCCCAGCTTCACTCCGGGGAAGCCAGGCTCCTCCTTCCCCTCGGTGCGCTCCTCCCCGGGGCCGAGGGCGGGGGGGGATAGCCCCAGCCCCCCCGCCGGTCTGTGAGGGAGGGGGCGTCCGGGCCGCTTACCCTGGTCCCCGGGCTCCTGCGGCGGCTGCAGGACGCGCTCCAGCTCGGGGAAGGGCAGCTCGGGCAGGTCCAGCAGCGCCCCGTAGCGCTCCAGGAAGGAGCAGACCACGGCGAAGTTCGGCCACGAGCCGGGGCAGCACGGGCCCGACGGGGGCGGGGGAGGCGGAGATGGAGCCGTAGGAGCCGCCACCGCCGCCATCTTGGACCTGAGGATGGAGAAGGAGACGGGGAGGGAAGAGAGGGGGGCGCTGGCGAGCCGCGCTTGGAGGACCCCGCTCCCCGGCGCCACTATCCCACAATGCAACAGCGGAGCGCCGGCCAGAACGGCCCTACTCGACTATTCCCCCGCCTGCCTCGTGTGACACGGGAACGAAAACAAGGCGGGGGAAAGAGGGAGGGAGTCTGGGGCAGCCAATCAGATCGAGACGGAGGAGTCAGCGCCTGTTACTCTCGGAGCGCGGGATGGGGCGAGGCTACAGCGCAGGGGGGGCGTGGCCTGTGTCGAGGAGCTAGCCAATGAGCGGGGGAGGGGCGTGTCCCCCCGGGCAGAGAGGCCACTGCAGCTCTCCTGACAGGAGGGGACGAGCGGAGGTGGGCCTGCAGCGTGAGTGGGGGGCGCTGGCGGGGTGTTCCCAAGGGGGCGTGGCCAGGCTGGCTGAGGGGACAGTAAACACCCCGCCCGGGGGCTGGGAGGCAGGGGTGCGTGCCCATGTCTCAGGCGTGGGCAGAGGTGAACGGGCTGCCCTGGGATGGGGAGGGGTGAATAGGAGCCTGCCTCCCGGGGGGCGGTCGGTTAAACGTCCTGCGCGTGACTCTGGAGGGCGTGGGGTAACTGGTGTGTTCGGAGGGGAGGGGGGGGGAAATTGTACTCTTCTCTTCCCCAGACAGGGTGGAGGATAAATGGGGTTTCCAGGGGGGGCTGGAGTGGGGAGGGGTAAATGGGGTTTCCATGAGGGGGATAAATGGAGTTTCCATGGGGGGCTGGAGTGGGGAGGGGTAAATGGGGTTTCCATGGGGGG